TAAGATAATATGGGCTCATTCTGTGATTTGACTGAAATCTTCCTGTAGGATCCTGGTTTTCCAGCAAAATCATGTTTTCAAACTTTCTATCGAGATAGAAGTTTTCAAAATATTCACGTTGTACACAATACCTACAAAAAGAATGACTATATTGTGAGAAACTCCTACCTCTATTGCTACATGGAATAGTTTTGACGTTTTTAGAAAATTTAGCCTAGTGACACTCTTAATATTTGCAAAGTTTCATATAAAAGTTTGAAAAAACAGTTTGGCTGGAAAATCAAAGTCCCATAGAATGTATCAGTATAACTTTCTATTTCAATCAGATCATAACATGGACCTATCTCATCTTAGACTTTTCCCAGCCTTCAGACCTGATAAATATGAGTAAAATATGGAGGCAAAAGCGACAAATAACTTCGAAAGAGTCCTTCATTAGTTCGTATTCAAAACTTATTATACTCAACTGCCATCCTTGTTAGGATTGTATACTATTAGTAATCATGTTAAAATAATTTTATGAAATTTTTTTCACTTTTTCATTATGTTTTTATTTTAACTATGTAAAAAAACTGGCTAAACGTATTTCCGTATTATACGACTCACAGTGATTGTGCTACTTATATTTTTTCTCATCCTTACAAAAAAAGGTTGAAAATAAATTTGTTAAATAAATCTAGCGTGTTTTTCAATAAAGCACTTTTTAACAATGATGTCAATTGTGTATAGTAGATTTTGAAGGGTGGGGTGTCGGTGTGGGTGTGTGGCGGGGGGTGGGTATGGGTGTAAGGGAATAAAGGATCAAATCCACACCAGTCCACACCACACCCAGACCCACACCCTAATCCACTTGAATGAGGGTTTTGGTTGGAAGAAAAAAATTCTCTAATCCTACTTCACATTTAAATATATATACGATCTGTTTGAGACGCGAAGTGCGCCTATAAGCTGGCACTTGCAAAACTAAAGACAATCGTAAGTTTTATCCGCCATATTATTCTCTTTTCTATTTAGTCTCAACAGAAATAATTGAATGCATCCCCCATTATCGATTCCGTCAGTGCTGTGCAAAGTTATGAGAAATCTATTCCGTTCTAATCTTCATTTTCCTCTCCATCAGTTAATAACCTTGTGAGAAAAGCCTATATGTCGATATGAATTTGAGTGCATCCTAGCAAAATAGAAAATTGGATTTGCTCAAAACACTTCTCAATTGTCAGAAAACAATTTTGTATCAAAACCCTTCAATTTTTTCATGAGCATAATTATAAGACAATGATCACGTTTTCTTTATTAATTCTCGAAAGCAACTTAGGTTTTGCTAAAAGCTTTAATAATAAATATAGAAAAGCTAGCTTTGTTTGAATTCAGAGTAGTATTTAATTAACCCTTTACGGCCGGATGTTGCCATTTGGCAACATTTTCCCGTATAGGGGTACGGCAATTTTGAAATAGCCGGCCGTAAAGGGTTAATCAAGCCAACATGGCTCGGAAAAGTCGCGCCAGTTATATTGTTTAAGAGAAAAATTTGAAAGAGACGTAATCATATCATTTAAATAAAGGATTTGAAAATAAAGGATTTTTGTTTTGAAATCAGAATTTCTCAGGCATCGTGTGTCATTTCATGATAGAGATGCATATTGTATGAAATTTGGCAAGGACCAAGATTGACAATTTAAAGCAGTTTGTATGCGATCTTAATAAAAAAAAAGTTGACTTTTTCTTAGTATATGCAAGTATTTTAGTAATGGAACACGATCAATAAATCGAATATATCTCATTTTGAACTGAGAGTGTCTTGTTTTCAAATCCTCTGTCCTAACGATCTGATTAGGTGTCTTTCAGCTTTTTCTATCAGAAAAAACCACTACTGGTGCGACTTCTTCGAATCATTTTTGCTAGACTAATAAAATATCACTCTCCATTCAAGTAAAGGTAATTCATTCAACTTTCATACGTAGAAATGTACACAAGCAGCTTTTGTACATATTTTATTTAGATTTTAAGTGACACCGAAGTCAATTTCGTAAAATAATGAAGAAAATACAATATTTATCTTGTGATTACAAAACAGGAAAAATTGAGAGGTTTTCATACAAAGCTATTTTCTGAGAGTACAAGACCTCAAAGATAGTGCTACGATTTCGTCAAATCCATATATATCAAACTTGAAAATTGAGTTTGATTCAGGTTTCAAGCTTCAACAATCTAAATGTAATATCTCAAAGTTTTTGTGATATCGTTAAAAATAATGAAAACATTAAAAAAATTTTGAATCACGATTTGATCGCTTGAATACAACTTTCAAGTTTGATCATATATGATTTCTCGAGAGATTAATCATATTCTCTAGATCTAGAATGTTTGATACATTGTTTAGGTCAATTTTCAGTTATATCGATCTTTTTGCCATCTTGTAACAAATGACTTATTAGCTTAATTTTTATTCATAGGAATCGATATCAAATTTAAAACTATTAAGTCATCTGTGACAAGATCCTAACGATAATGATATAACTAGAAAGTCATTTAAACTATACTTGAAGCAATCCAGGACTAAGGAATATGAGTTTTCCCACTATGTATACACTCAAATCCAAGGCCGAAATAGGTGAAAACATGTTAAAATTTTGAACGAAAATAAAATCGTTCAAACTAAACATTTTTAGGAGTTTTTTTTAATCTTGTTTGCTTGACATACGTAGTCGATCAATTGATATACTAAACTGTCTAATTTTGTCACCTGTTGAATTCTATAATTGAACCAACTAGTCTTTCCCTGGTTAAGTCAAGAGTTTCAACTAGTCGATCAAATTCGATTGAGAAAAACTCAGCTCAAGCCCAACTCTGATGTTAGTTCGATCGAGTTCGATTTTAGGCTCTATGAATGCTGTCGTAAAGTATAAATTAATTCTCTGTAGAAAAACAGTTTTCCATGAAATTTTTTGTTCGCAATACTATGCCTTCTATTTATATTAAGATTATCTAGCTAAACGACGTGAAATGAGCGAATGTCATTTGCATACTTTCATGCCGTGGCTTCTTGCTTTAATTATGGTGGCATTTCTGCGAGAAGGAAGTTGTACTAATCTCAACAAGCAGTTATCATCACGCATCTTCAGTAATCCTCAGACGAGTTCATCCCTTGATGTATTCTTTGTCATTGATACATCAAGCGCAAATATTGATGTAGTTCAATTCGGTCAAATGAAAACCGCACTCCGTAACATGATTCAGGATTTAGCATCGGGTTCTATTAGAATTGGTATTTTGTTCTATGGCTCTACAAGCACAGTAGATGTTGTTCACACACCATCGAACGATACTGAATCTATCGAACGAATTAAGACAAAAATCGAGCAAAAACAATTTCGTCCAAGTAGCGTACAAGATTCTTCAACACTTCACGCTGCTTTCACCGAAGTTGAACGGATCTGTAACACTTCATGCCGTAATATTTTCATTCCGCGCGTAACTCTCGTGTTAACAAGCGCTAAACAGCCAGCGATCGAGAAAATAGAAACTTCACGACTTGGTTCATATTTACGAATGACAGTGATTACAGTTGGTATTGGCGTTCAAGTCAATCTCACAGCTTTGTCCTTGATTGCATCAGAGCCATTTACATATACCATTTCTCTTGATAGTTTTTCATCATTGATCATGAGTGTACAACATATAACTTCACTAGTTTCTTCAGTACCACCTGCTCTACACTATGGAGATTTACCTCCTGCTAAACACTATGGCATTGATGATTTGGATTTGTACAATACTATCCAATATGTCGTAACTCATCCTAAAGATCACTTGGTCATACTTGATTTTGAAACTAATGCATGCTGCAACCATGATTCTCAAATTACAGTTTACGCTTCTAAATTCGATCCAATGCCAACAAGTGATAATTCTGAAGAAACTCGATCTTACACATCAGAGCAATGCGATAACATGAATCGTTTGAAGTACTATCTATACGTGCGAGAACAGGTCAAGCGACTCTATATTAGTTTCATTGTGAACAGTCAACCGCAAACAATCAAGTATCAAGCATCAGTAATCGACTATCCCACATTGATATCAGGTACGTTTCCTATAAATATTTTTCAAATCCTTCTCCGAAGAAAAAGGAAATATGTACACCAATACATTTTACGTAGCATAGAACTTATGAGAATAGATTTTTTTTGAAAAGTTTTATCAAAATGAAATAGATCAATAAAAACCTGTCGTTATGGACGTATGTAGAGTCGTTCAAATTGTGTGGAATCAGTTTTGCTCATTTGTTTTTACGTCTCCTCTTTTTCCTATTTCAATTAGCTTTTCAAGTTTGGAATTAATCCACTACGAAATGAAGTTTCAAAATAGATTAATTAATATTAGTTCGAGCAGTTGCCAATCAATCGGTATGGATCAATCATGATCAGTCTCACGGTCATTAATTTCCTCTTCAGTTTGAACTACTTTAATCACTCTCGGCACCGCTTGTCAATAATACTGTTGTGTTTTGTAAGTACTGTGACCTGCTCGTACTAGCTAGATAACAAAATGTAGGACTGAGACTTTCTCTCTCATAAAAACGGTTCTATTCAGTGTGTTGATCTTGCTATGTTTTTTCGAGACATCTAATGAGTCCGATGCATAAGATTCTTCGATGAGACCTTTTAAACTACAGACAACTTAGTTTCCAGAAGGAGCTCCGTTACAGTGAGAAAGTAAAAGCTCCATTCATAGGTAAAAAAATAAAACGTTCTGAAAGCTTAGTTTTTATGGTTGGTATTGTCATGCTGTTTTTCTACTTTAAAGCTACCGAATTATGTACACCAGCAACATATTCTCAGTCTTTCACGTATGACTTGACTGCACATGAGCAATGCGCAACGTGGAAAGCATATGTTGTGGGTCTGACGTGTTCAAGATACAGAGTATTGAGGTTGAGTGGTTCAAGGAATCCCGCTGGTATCGTCGTTAGCAATCCAGCAGTCGTCAACGCAATTGCTATGGCATTAAGAACGTCGACGAATTATAAGGCTGTATCAAATGGCTTTACATGGGTTGTTGGTGCTTGTGGTAACGGCATGGAATTGAGTGCAGCTGGTACTACTTGTGAATGTCCGATTGGTTACATTTTAAGACCTTGCGTGCTTAACCAGAATTGGGGTGGTATTGATGGAGCAACGTGCACAGCACCTTCACAATCAATAACACTTACATTCGAATGAAAACAGAATGTATTCAATTGAAGACTGCTCTTCACACTATGAAAGTCTTTCCTTAGATTTATACTTTTTCTTCTATTGAAATGAAATCATAAGAGTGAAAAGTGATTTTAGTCAAAGAAGTGATAGCTAGGATGAAATGAAGCATCATTTGACTATCTCATATAATCAATGTTATCGTCACTGCACTGTACACGCAGAGATGTTTACTATTACTACGAAGAGAGAGAGGCACAGTGGAATGGCTTTTAAAATCTATGACAAAAGTAATAGTCAATAAAACTGAGTCAAATATTGTCTGAACGAAAAGCATGTTCGAGTTCACGTGTTAGTCTCGCCACATGACATAAAATATGATTTTTTTCACATGTTAGTATGCGTGAGGGTGTGGTTGTGAAGAAGTGGACATGAATGGCTGAGTAGGAGCGAAGTGAAGACCCAAACCCGCTCACATCAGCCAACACTCACACCTATACTCGATAGGTGTCAAAATTTGAAAGCACTCTGTATACAAGAATAACAAAAAGACTCAGACCTACAGAATTATTTTGATCGTTCTAACAAATGTTCAATGTGCAGCATAAAATTCATTTTTCGTTAAATTTAAATTTTGAAACAGTTTCTATATTATTTAGTTTTTTGATGTAACTATTTCCTTTCGAATTGAGCATCTTATTCTTTAAAAATTCCATCTTTTGAATAATACCTATTGAAATAGGTGCTTCATTGGACTTATTTTGAACCATAATCAATTGTTTTCTTTGCATGTTAACTATTCTATACAAATCATTTTTTTTCTTAAGCCCCCCCCCCCCCCCCCCCCCCCCCCTTTCAAAAAGGTCACTTTTCGTCAGAATCATGGAAACCGAGATAAATACATAGGGGTATAGCCTGTCAATTGTCCTTATATAAGCAGTAAAAATTTTTCTTCGGTAGCTCTTTTTTTTCCCGAAAATTTTAAAGATTTTTGAAAACCCCTATTCGAAAAACCAGTGATTTTTTAAAAAATTCAAAAAATTGTTTTCTTTTTTTCTCAAAGATGTAGTCGAACGACGCAGTCCCCAAAAAAGTCAATTATTATCCGATATAAAGTCCAATATTTTTTTTTGTTTGAAAGTGCATGTCAGAATGCAGTGCCTATGAGGACCCTTTTTCTGATAAAGCTTTCTTATTATTATATTGAAAAGCGACTTTATAGTACAAGCATGATTTTTTTGAGAACTTTTTGAATGATTGAATTTATGAAGCATTTTTTTCTTATTAAAAATAAGAATAAAAAAAAAGGGCCCTCAGAGGCACTGCATCCTGACATGCTCTTTCATATGAAAAACCAATGAACCAAATTGAATGAACACCTATAGAGAAATTTGGGGGCTCCGATAAGCTATTTTTCGACCCTTTTTTGGTTCGTATCTACCATATACATCAGGATAGGAGGCTGAATAGTTTATCACAGACGTACTTTTACACCCCCAACATATCCTCAAAGTTTCATGCTATCACGATGTTCTGGAGCTGAGATCGAATTTTGAGGGGGGGGGGGGGAAGGGGAGGGGGGGCTTAAATTTGAAAAAATTCAGAGAATGCAACTGCTAATGCTTTAGTGGTTTCAATCGATACAATCAAATGGTGGATGTTCGCCATTTGATTAACAGGAATGTTATTGTCAGAATTAATTGAAAGTATTACTTTCACTCCATAGTACAATTGTTGAATTGAAATTAGCTGAAATATGAATGAAACTAGAATAGAAAAACAAATCGAAAGAAATAAGTATTGTTAAGAGATAGTGATATACAAAATGTTTCAAGAGATTGTTTTTTTTCTCATTTAAACACGTTCAAAAAGGAATATTGTTAAATGATCATATAAATAGTACAATAACTTACTATTGACTATTGAAACAAAGAAGTTGTGTTGTTTGACAATTATTACATAAACGACAAGCACTATCTTCATATGAAGATTGTGAGATAAAAAAAAGTTTCTTAACATCACATTTCTAACGATATAATTTTCAGTAACATACAAATAAACTGTTCAATAGTTTTCGCAAGACCAAAACCACTAGAAAAGAAGTTACTGGGATCAATACAAAAGAAACTTGGTCTTTTTATCAAACATTTAATTTTTTTTCTCATTATCGAACAACTGACTTGAATCAACTTATATTTGTTCTGGCATGAGCATTTTTATTTAAAGATCAAATTCCAGTTTCTATAGATGTCACTCTCTTTCGGAGGAAACTACTACATATTTTTTTTGATAGTATAATTAACCAATCACAAGCTTTTTTCTCGACTGTTATGTTCTTGCAACAAATCTATTATTATTATTATTATTTTTTCCTTCATTTACTATTCAAATTTACCCTTGTTTTCTTTTGTGCATAGTATTCTAATTATAAAAAGTAATGGCAACAATACAACGACGATTATTAAAAGTATTTGAAAAGATCAATTGATTATAAGAAGTTATTTTGTTTTTCATAGGAATTTAAAACTGCTAAGGAAAATTCAGCTCAAGTTAGTAAATTAGAACCAAAAGGAAATGACAGTAAGCTTTCGAGTTTTTTTTTTCTTTAATTTTTAATCACATATTTATTTAGTTTTACAATTGGAAGCTAAAATTGTTGGACCAGTAAGTCAAATAAATAATAATGACTTAAAATGATAAAATAGTTTCAGTGAATAAGATCATGTTTACAATCGTTTTCTATTATTTTTATATTGATAATAATAAAAAAAAATTATCTTTATAGAAAATGTTCGTCGTGACCTACTCAACTCTATTCATTCGGTTTTTTTTTAAATTATAGGATAATTCACCATATGCTGATCATATTTTTACTCTTGATATTAATTTACCAACAGATTTTCCATTTAAACCACCAAAAGTAATTGATCAATTGATTTCATACAAATCATAATAGTTTATCTTTTTTTTTTTTGTCTAGGTTAAATTCGTGACACCAGTATATCATCCAGCAGTAAAAGATGACGGAAGCATTTGTAAATATTATTTACATAAATTAAATTCTTTAATTTTATCTCATTTATTTTTTTTTTAGGTCTCGATGTTCTTAGTGAAAAATGGACGCCAAATCTTTCGATTGTGACAAGTAGAATAAAAAAAAAATGTTTTATTTTTTTTTCTTATTTTATTATAAAAAAATCTTTTTGTATTTATATTTAAAAGTTTTACTTCAAATAATCGAATTATTGGCTGATCCAAGTACTGAAAGTCCTCTTGTGTCTGCTATAGCTCAACAAATGCTTAAGAATCCAAACGAATTTTATGAAACAGCTCGAAAACATACAATAGCCCATGCCCAACCAAAACCGATGCAATAGATCTCGTTTTGACTTATTATTATTATTATTATTATTATTTTTTTGTCTATATATTTTTCTGTGATTGTGTTCAATCTAGCTGTTTTCTATCATTGAGAATCTATTAGAATACGACGAATTATCGAGGCTACCCAATAATTGTTATTGATCATAATATCAAACTATCAGACAAGTAGAAAAAAAAATCATTCCTATGGCGTACCACAATTTGGATTTGGCTATCTTTAATTATGAATTATCATCCCTGCATATTTCAATCTATTCTCATTACTGCTTTTATTTTTATTACTATATTTCTTCATTAAATTATAAAAATCTCTTGTTAAAGTATTTCTTTAAGATGATTTAAACATGTTAGGTGATATTAAATATATGTGACAATTGCGGAACTTGATAGTCTCTCTCATTTGTTAGGATATACTTTTAAAGAGAGAGAGCTTTCTTCTTTTGTTTAATAGGATCAAATATGATGCTGCTTGCCACAATGAATCGTTTTGCTTATAATCAAGACTAGAACTACTAGTCTGACCTGAACGTTTGGTGTCGCTATTACAATAATAAATAGAAGAGTGAAAATAAAAAAATATGAATCAAGTAATTGTATCAATCGAATTATTTTGCTTTAGTTTATGTCTGTAGACCAATAAAATGATGTGCTACATAGTTCATGAAAAAAAAACATTTTCTTGAATAATAGTAGATGATAGTTGTAATGCTATATCAGAAAGAAAATAAGTTCTTTTATAAGTATTCTACATCTGATACACATAGGTTTATTGTTTAGAGATTGACTTTGTAGATTATGATGTCTTTAAGAACAAAGTTTATTAGTTGAAGTTGTTTATTGTAGAGTGTTTGTTTAAGTAACCAAGGAAAGATTTAATATTTTCTGGATTGTATTTGAGTATTTTATGGTATTTTTATTGGTTAGTTATGTTAGCGATATGATTGGTCGTTGTACTAGCTTCTCATTGATCTGTTGTTTTCTTTAAAGAAAAAAAAAAAAACAATATTAAAAATAATTCTATATTAATTGTAATTTTAGAATATAAATATAATCGTATGTCATTAACTAGTCGTTTACCTCAAACATTAAAACAAGTTCGACCTGTTCTTTCAACAGATCATGCTGAAGCTAAACGACGTGTTTTAAATCTTTATAAAATTTGGCTTCGACAAATACCTTATCTTCGTGTTGATTATATTAAAAATAATTGGACAGAAACACATTTACGTAATGTTATTAAAGTAGTCGTTAACAAAAAAAAAAACAACTAGATTTCATTGTATATTCATAAGTTTCTTTTTTTCTTTTTATAGGAAAATTTTATGCGTAATAAAGATGTAACTGATTTACGTGTAATTGATTTACTTGTTGTACGTGGTCAAATGGATTTTGTTGAAACAGCTGAAATATGGCGACAACAACATAATGCTGCTTATTTAGATAGTTCGAAAAATACATATAAGAAAAAACCAACAAGTTTTCTTGAACGTTTTTATGAAGGACTTTAATTTGAAAAACAAAAAAAAAAAAATCCTTTCCTCTTTTTTTTTTCTTTCGTCTTTGTATTTTCCTTGCCTGTATTTAGACTATAATTAGTTCTTCATTTCAGAATCAAAAAAATAAATAAATGCCATCATTTGAAGAAACATTAACATGTCCAATATGTATGGATTTATTTGATGATCCTCGTTTATTACCATGTTCACATACATTTTGTTGCAAATGTCTTCATACATTAATAAATAATCGTACGTTTGTAATATGTCCTCTTTGTCGATATCATTTTATTGGACAAATTTTACCTATTAATCGTATTGTATTAACACTTGTTGAACAATTTCGACAAGAAAAATTTAATGAAAATCGATCGATTAATATTAATGCAAAATGTTACAATTGTAAAACGTATCAAAAACTTGAACTTTGTTATCATTGTGATATACTTTTATGTTATAAATGTCATAATAGACATGAAATTGATTGGAAAAATCGTGATTATAAAAAAAATAATTTGCTTTTATCAAAAGGTAAAATTTGATAATAGAAAAAATTATTTTTTTTTTTTTTTCATTTGAATATTTAATTATTTTTATAGTTACTTGGTTAAAATTTCAAGTAAATTATAAACTACGTCATGAAAAAATTTCTATATTCAATGAACGATTAGATGATATTGAATATAAATTAAAAAATTATCATCATCCTTGTAATCGTCAACAATATCATGAAAATAAACATCAAATAGAAACTATAACTAATGATTTACATCGTATTGATATGCAATTAAAAGAAAAATTTATACAAAATGTCAATGTTCAATCATCAACTTGTAATACGCCTCTTTCAGCAACTAGTAGTGGCTATAGTTCTGATATGAATTAAGTTTCAATGATAAATATTTATATATATTTTTCTTTTTTTCTTTGTTTATTTGTTATTGATATGGATATTTTTACTTTGTCAGATATATTTTCTTTGTTTGTTTATTATTCTCAGTTGTGAAGAAAAACTTCTGTCTTATTTCTTTTTTTTTTATTATTATTGAACAAGAAAATAAACATTTAAAGAGGTTCAAGTTTTCGTGGTCTTGGAGTATTGAACTAAATAGAAAAGAAAATCAATAATGATCAATATGTAATATTAACTTACTGGTTGATCAATATCATTAATTTTTGTAAGAAGTTCAGCTTTTTCTCTACCCCATGCGGAAGCATTTTCTTGAAACTATAAAACAAAAAAAATTTCAAAAAAAAATATTATAATTTCAAAATTATAATATCTTACTCGTGCTTTGAGATTAGCTAATTCTTGTTGATAAAGTAAATTTTGTCGTACAAGATCATCACGTTGATTTGTTACTGTTGCAGAATAACGTGTTGGAGGTATTCGTCTCTATAATGAATATAATTTATTTTCTATCAAAAAAAAAAATAAATAAAATTTACTTGAAGTTGTTGAGTTTCTAATCCAAGTGCAGCATGTTCAGATAAGAAAGTTCGATCAACATCATTAAATGCTCCTAAATGAAATAATATTCAAAAAAATTTGAAGATAAAAAAAAAATTAATTTTTACCTTTTAATCGTTTTTCTTTTAAATAATTAGTAATCATTGCTTCAAGTTTTTCAATAACAAGTTCTTGTCGTCGAACTGTTTCTTCAAGTCCATCAGCTTTTAATAAACGGTCTTTCATTACTTTAATTTCTAATTCACGTGCTTGAGTTGTTCGAACTAATGCATCATATTGAGCACGTAATTCACTTCTCTATATCAAAAAAAAAACAAAAAAAAAAATCGTTTATTAAAAATTAAAAAAAGAAAATTTTATTTAAATTTAACATACACGAGCTAATTCTTTTTCATAATTATTTATTTTAGCATGATTTTCTTTTAATTCAAGTCCTTGAGCAGATATTTTTGCAGATAAACGATCTAAATTATTTAATAAATATTTAGAGATATGAGCGAAAAACAAAAAAAAAATTTAAAATTTCTTTTCTTACTAAATATATCTTGCATTTTAGCTTTATCAATTTTATCACCTTCAAATATTTCATATAAAACTTTTTTTTTCTTATCAAAATTTTCCATTTTAACTTTTAAATCATTATTTGCTGCAGTTAATGTTTTATGTTGATCACGTAATTGTGCAACATCTTGTATAACACGTCGAATAGCTTGTTTATAAACAGCTATTTCACGTTGAAAATAATCAAACCAACCATCAATATCATCATCACGACGTGGTGGATAATTTGTTGCCAACATTGCACGATATTCTGTTGGAATATCATCCAAATCATATAGATTAACACGTGGAATACGAAAACGAACACCCTAATTTAATTTATTTTACAAAAATAAAAACAACAAAAAGATCATTTACATCTTGTCGATCTACATATTGAAGTGTTGGTACAACCTTGCCAAATAAAATAGAATATTTACTTTAATAAAAAACACTTAATAATTATACTTCGTATGGTTGTTGTTGATAGAATTGTGGTGCAAGCATTGTTGGTTGACCTAACTTAAAATGAAAAAAAAAAACATGATATTAGATTATTTTAATCTATATAAAATACATACAAATGAATAATTTCCTAATGAATTATTTAAAACATGAGATGGCTTGGGAACTATTACCCATTGTTTTTTGTATTTAGGATTATAAGACATATACATATGTGTTATTATGCTTCATTGGCAACCAACACAGCATGTCATCCGAAAAGTGAAAAAAAAATTATTTTATGATAGAGAAAAAAATCATTTCATTTTTGTATGAGGAAAAAAAAAGAAAAGAAAAGTTAACTCATTTTCTGCTTATCTTTCATAGGTATGAAAGTTTTAAATTACTATTATATAAAAATTATATTATAGTAATACTTCTAATAAAATTGTAAAAGTCATTTTTGATTTATTATTATAATTATTACTATTGAAATGATGTTTAGAAACAAATTTTTGGTTTTTTACTTATTGTATAAAATTTCATTAGGTTTCTAAGCATTTATGAATAATTACTATATTAGAGGGTGAAATGAAATTATTTATCGTAAAGGATATAGGATAGATATATTGGTAACATATTTTTATAACTCACCATATCAATATTGAAAAACTATGATAAATACAAAATGAAAACACTGCTTAAAACTTAATTATTAGTAGTACCAAAAAATAATCAATTTTTTTTTTTTTTTTTTTCTTACTGGTATTGATGGATTTATAATAGATTGTGTTATTGGTGTTTGTGTTATTGGTGGTTGTGTTACTGGTGTTTGTATTGCAGGTAGAAAATTTTTCTTTGGTACAGTAACTTGCATATATACAGGTGGAGCACCACCATGTCGAACACCTTCAACATAATATGAAGGTAAAATTGGTAGATTACTAGCTGCATATGCAAGAAGATTTTTTCCTGGATGTCTTTCTGAGACAAGACGAAGTAATACTTCAGCTGTTAAATATTTTGTATTTTCTGAAACTAATTCACCATCACTTTCAACCACAAGTCCTTTTTTGAAAATAAATTTTCAATACATATTAAAAATAAAAAAAAAATTAAAAAGGTACCTTCTGTTCTCATTCCTTCAGCTGAACTTGGTGCTGTTAATGCATCATATGTTCGTGTATCTAAACGAATAGTTATCCATCCAATTAACGTTTTTATACGCCAATTTGGATTATTAGAAATTGGTTGAAATGGATAAAATTCAATAACAATTGCAGAATTATTTGAAAACATATTATCTTTTTCATGTTCATGTGAAAATAAATAATTATGCATCCATGTTGGAAGTTTTGACTATGACAAAAAATTTAAAAAAAAAGTAAAAAGTTTGAAATTAAATATACTTCTTTTGATGCTAATGATGTTTGAGGATAACCAGTAAATGAATAATCAGATACAGCAAAATCTTGAGCTGTTGGAACATATATTTTTTTAAAATCAATACCCAATTTTGGATTATCAAGATTACGTAAATAATCATGTCTATAAATATATATATCAACAATTTTATTAGTTTATTTATACACTCACCTAGAAGTAAAAAAAAAGACACATACTTATAAGTTTCATAATCAGGTATAATTCGTGCAACAGCATATAAAACACGTTTTTTTGGTAATGTTACATCAAATCGATTAAGTAAAACTTCCAAACCAAAATAACGAATATCTTCTTTTGATAGAGTACTTTGTTTACGCATTATAGATAAAAATAGAGATGTTGTTTGAGCTGTTTGTTTTGATGTATGTTGTAAATTTATATGATATTGATAAAATGGTTCTAACCATCGCCATGGAAAACGATGTTCAGATATTGTTCGTTGTCGTGGTTCATCAATAATCAATATAATAACCTCTATATATATATATTATTTTGAAATATTCTTTTGTTAAATTTACCTTCAGCATGATTAGTTTCTTCAAATATATCAGCATATATCATTTCATTCCAATGAGGTGAAATACCTTCCATAACATTTGTTGCATTTATTGTTTCTCCAATATCTTGTGTTGCCATTGTCGAACGACTTTGTCTAAATATTACATAATTACGTATAAAAATTTTCAAAAAAAGAAAAATAAATCATATCATTACGCTGTGACATAACATCGTGGTGGTCGGCTATCAACAAAAGGTAAATTAGCTGCACCATGGACTAATATATGAAGAAGATCTTTTCCTCGTGTAGCAACATGTGGAAATAATGCACCATATTTGGCTGCTGTCATTACAGGTGGTAAATCGTACTAAAAATAATTATTAAAAGATGTTGATTTGATTTTTTAAAAACAAAAATTATATGCTTTACGTCTTACTTCACGACCAACCGATCGACAGTTACTAACGATCAGTTAAGTAAATATCGTCATTACTATTTTTCTTTTTTTACAAACATCATATCGATTCTTTTTTCTCTTCAATTTCTTTTTCCTACTTTAACGTTTAGTAACTTTTTTTTTTTGACATTCTCGTTTTTCTTTTTTGATTCTTTATATTTATATTTGGCTTTTACATTGAAGAGCATTTAAATTTTTCAATCTCAATAAGAGACTTACATCGTTCCGTTGTGGTACCGTAACTGGTTCCACTAAATATAAAAACTTTTTAATCAATAATTAATATGATCTTCTGACCTACCTGGTATTGCTACATTCCGAAGAATATTATCTGTTGTACCGGTAGTACCTAAATTTAATCTTATCTGATCTATATCATTCGCAGGAACTGTTATTGGTAATGTCGGATTATTGGGAGTTGCTATTTGCCCTGCCATTGTATTGTGATCGAAATGAAATATGTTTTAATTAAATAAAAAACAAAAGAAACACAGACAGAATGAGACAAACAAATTTATTGGCTTCCTTTTGTATAGATTCTCTCATCTTTTTCTTGTGATTGAAAACCATGTGTATCAATAGCAAAAAAAAATTAACAACAACTCGACATATCTATGATTATTAGTCATTGATCGTTATTTTTCAAAAAATATTAATAGAAAACTTTGTTTGTTCGTCATCATTAGATCAATTTTATTGTGAAAATGGCTGATCAATCCAGTTCAAAAAAAAGTCATAATCATATTGTAAAGTATGTCAAAAATTGAACACTCAAAAACACACATACGAATACCGTAAAAACTTGTCATGCATAATTATTGTACTGAATCGTATTTGATAATAAATAGAGTTACACTTATCGAATACACAGCTTTTATATTTTCAATTCAGCAACCAATTCAATAGTAAGTATTTATTTCATTTAAATTTAATCGACAAACAAGAAAACATTACATATTTAACTTTAACAAATTATTTTTATTTTTTTATTGTTTAAATTCAATTGGCAAGATATTAAAAAAAATGGTT